AAAGTAACAATAATAATAAAAATAATAATCATATGACAATAGCAATAATAACAATAGCAATGACAATGATAATAACAAAAATAATAATGAAAATGATAATGTTAATAACAATGATAATGGTGATAGTAATGACAATAAATAATGATAATGATTATAATATTATTGCTACTACTACTAATTATGATAATAATAATGCTAATAATTATTATCATAATAATGATTATTATCATTATAGTAATAGCAATGATAATAATGATAATAATGATGATGATGATAATAATAATGATAATAATATAATAAAAGCAACAGAAAAAAACAATATCAACAATAATGATAATAATAATAATGACAATGGTGATGATAATAATAATAACATTAATGATAATAATATTAATGATAACAACAACTACAGCAGGAACAACAATAAAAATAACAATAACACGTTGTTACACTTTGTTATAATGATATAATTAACTGTAGGAGGTAAAAAGAGTAAAACGGGGTTGGAGAAAACTCTTTAACATAATATTTGGAGGATGCACCTGGTAATGTATATAAAAAGTTAATATATAGTTGTAAATATTTAGAATTGTACTGTTGAATATAATAATTTCATATTGATAATTTCATCCCAAACAGTAAACAAGTGTTTGACCTATTAACACACACACACACACACACACACACACACACACACACACACCTCACTGCTCTGCCAGAAGCTTAATCTAATCGGGTATCTAGCTATCTCTAATATGTTGCATGACCATAGAATAGCAAACGCGCTACTACCAACAGCCTTTCGTAAAATTATTCAAAACATTTAAAGAGATAGACTTCGTGTCTTTACATTACTAAGATATCTTAAGGGCTGATCATTTTTTCATATCGGTTCTTCTTAGTCATAATACATTATAGATCTGTCTTCTTTTTTAGTGAGGACCAAAGCAATGATAACATAATAATGCAAAAGTTGCAATACTCCTGAATCTTAACAAGATTACGACCAGTTTCTTTGGGCCAATGGGAAATGATGAGTTGAGTATTTTGTCTCAAAATGAGACGGTAACGCGCGAGGCTTCACGGTACAGAAGTATGAAAAAGCCTAGCGGATGTTGTGTTTCTCATACTAGCGTGGTTGTTTTAACTAAACGAAACAAGTTTTGATTAAACGAAACACGTTGGTTTTCACGTGTTTCTTCGTGCGCTGGCGGTATTTCACTTCACAGGAAACGTTGGACAAAGTATGTACACACAAAGAGAAAGAAAAACGGCGGCCGTGTTTCACTTTCACATAGCAACATAATGGGGGGGGGGGGGCGGGGGCATGAAAGAAAACACAGCGGATTCCATGTTTCTCTTCCCGTGGCTTCGCGTCTTCTCACCACCGAGGTCGTCCTTGCTAGTCCCTCAGTCAACCGTGGATGCCATAGTCGCGACTGACACCCCGGCGCCACTGTGGATATGGCTGGTGTCCGTCCTCCTGTCGTAAGTGACATCGGGGGCGCTTGTCGGGAGTCGGTGCCAGATGTAGTGGGTGGAGCGACGCACTTGTATCCGCACCTGCAGGGGCCAGGTATGATTACTGCACATTTCCTGTTTGGCTTAACGTATATGGCGTTTCATTCCTAAACATTCATGTATTCTTATTGCTGAAGGGCACAGGTGTGCTTATTAGTATATATATGTATACATGTATATATATATATATATATATATATATATATATATATATATATATATATATATATATACATACATACATACATACACACACACACACACACACACACACACACACACACACACACATATATATATATATATTATACATATATATATATATATATATATATATATATATATATATATATATTATATTATATATATATTAATATTATATATTAGTAAATATATATATAGTAAAATAAATAAAAAAAATAAAATATATATATATATATATATATATATATATATATATATATATATGTACATACACACATATCTATATACACTGTGTATATATATGTATGTATGTATGTATGTATGTGTGTATATATATATATATATATATATATATATATATATATATATATATATATATATATATATGCACACACACACATATATATATATGTGTGTGTGTGTGATACACCTACAACTATTATGACAACTACAGTGTGATAAAATTGTGATGCAACTAAAACCATAGCAGTAAACAGTATGTATTTGTGGTTCAACTCACCTCGTTGTTCATGTAGCAGTACACAACAGAAATATATAGTCCCTGTAGTCCGTCGATCGCAGTTGCTATGAATACATATGCCTATAGAAAGGAAAGATAAGAGTTGATGTAATCCTTGGACGGGGAAGAATACTATATTCGTATAAAGTACAGGTGCATCATCAATTTTCCGACAACTGATGGTCCGGCACCTCTTTTAATCCGGACGGTATTATTAGCGTACACAAGAGTGCCTGGTGCAGTCTCGTCGATATCAAATATTTGCGCGACAGAGGACAGGTATTTTACTAATGGATTAGTATATCATTTCCGTTGCTCTGGGACAATGGACAATAAAAAACTGTCTTGGAACTAAGGTGTCGGAAAATTTGCGGTGTACCGGTATATCTACATGAAATTTCATATATAAATGATTATACATAGTTAGTCATAGAAAAAAATGCTAGTATTGTCATTAGTATCATCATTACCATATCATTATCATATATTTTCTTTATCATATTACTTAAACAGGAACAGCAATTTTGCACAAATTTAATTGGTACGTGTTAATTCTAAAAATGTGTACTCTGCCAGGACACAACGCCCACGCCCACGTATTGGTCTGCATACCTCACGCCCATCCTTATCATCCTGCCACCCACGTTCGTAGTCGTACAGTACTCACTCACGCCTGTCCTCCCCAGTCACTTTCTTAACCACACACACGCCCGCATATTCTCAAGTAATCTCCCTCCCACATCCATACTGTTCACCTACATACACGAGAGTCACGCCTGCAATGCTCCCACACAAGCCCATGCAGCCCCGACACCCGCATACGCACCTGCATGCCAGCGCACGGCGTCGTGAAGGGCGGGACGAAGAAGGTGATGAAGAACTGGAGGCCAAACATTGGTAGGAGGAAGGTGCTGGCTTTTACTGCTCTCCTGCGAAACAAAAGAAGAATTTTAGTGATTGGGCTCGTACTAATGCACTCACATAATATGCATGCACGCAAACATACACATACACACACACACACACACACACACACACACACACACACACACACACACACACACACACACATACACACACACACACACACGCACACACACACACACATGTGCACACACGCGCGCACATACATTACACATGCAAATACATACATACGTGAAGGCACGCACATGGCACATCGCTTAAAACAAACACTCACCAGCACATGCAGTCAGAAAAATAAGTATTGTTACCCTTTGCACAAACTAATATGAAAACTCGACGAAGTGGTATGGAATGGCGAGAGAAGGTAGAGAGCACCGCAACCTGGTGTTAATAGAGAGAAACGTTCAGTTTCTCATTGACCACACGTAAAGATAACGATGTTTTTTTCGTACAACGTGAATACACAAATACTCACTAATACCCAACGATCTTGATGATAATGATGATAATTAACCCATTGGTGCCGGGTATGAATACCGCCCGTCTCGCCCGTTTACCCGTTTCTTTGATTTCCAAAATATTTTACGTAATCTTATTTTGCTGTTACTAATGTTAAAAAAAACATTATAAAAATTATAATGTTTATGATAAATATAACACCATCGATTTTCATTGCACTAGTGAAAAATACGTTTTTCCCGCCATTTCAAATCAGGCGCTAGCAGAGCCATCTATCGGCAGGCATTTCACGAAAAACATAGAGAGTGGGCACAGCATTTTCTCCATTTTTTGTTCATTTTCCCCGGCACCATTGGGTTAATAACAATGGTAATAATAATGATAATGATAATTTTGATAATAATAACATGTTGGAGGACTATGTAGTCGCCTTCAATGATAACTGGTCGAAAAAAAGACTGTCTATTCTAGAATTAAAGTAAAAAAAGAGACAAGAGATGCACTGTCAAGTAGGACAAATTAGGTCCTACACGTCAAAAAAACTGATCCAGTGAAGAATTGGTCCTGTGACCGCGTAATACCGTAATTCAAGTGTCATTCTTCTGTGAGGGACTTTTTCAAAGGCTTTGGCATAGTCGAGCAGTATGATATCAACATGTTTCGTGTCACCTATTTCAGGTTGTCGGGGAGTGTCAAGACGGGTTGTGATTAGTTGAGTCGCACATGATCATTTCGGCCAAAAGCCGTATTGTGAGTGTCAATGTAGTTCCTGATGTGTTTGTGCATTGTGTTAAAAAAAATGAAAGCGATCGATATGAGGCATGGTGGGGTGATAGTCGGGTCTGTGCAGTAGCCTGTCTTGAAAGGGGGGGGGGGGTGATATTTGCGCAAAACAAGTGTGCAGGTAGGATGCTTGAGGACTTGAAAACAGTCGTTTTCTGGACTTGTATTTGCACTCGTCTGGAGACCCAGGGAAGTGTGCGTCTACTTGGGGTATTTTCTGTGGTATTTGTTTTTCCATGGATGTGAACATGGTGTGTCTAAGGCTATCCCAATTAGAAGTAAAGGGTCCTGTGTGGGGATCTGCATAGAAGTAGCCCATGCTGTAGTTTGTGATGTACTGTGTAACTGCATCTATGTCAGCTCTGGGAATAACGAAAATAAGCTCATGTCTCTGTGTTTGTCGGGTTGGTCTGAGGTTTGCACCAACAAGGACAGTCTTATGTCACTTAGTCCTGGGATACCCTTGGTGCTTGATATGTCTAGGAATAGGTCTAGAATGTTTGAGGTGGTGTAAGGGTTACCGGTGCCATCGGGACATCATCTGTTTTTTGTTCGCGAAAGTGAATGTGTATATAATACCAGTAAAAGAGTCATGTAATTGGAGTCTTTCTGCTGTGGAATAATGGGGGCCGCAAGGTCATTGTGCGGGGGGTCATGCGGAGATGGAAGAGTCCAGTCTGTGTCAGGGAGGTTGAAGTCGCCAGTGATTTCGCATTATGTTAAAGGAGAAAGGGGAAGGAGGAAGTAGGGACGGCGGGGAGGTGGCAGGAGGTGAGGAGAGAGAGAGAAAGAAGAAGAGAAGGGGTTGTAGCGGTGACAATGAGAAGAGAAAGTAAGGAAAATAGGGAGGGAGTGCGTAATGAGTGAGAGATAAGTTAAGGGAAGGCCTAGGGCACTAGGGCACCGGGAATATGGAGCTCAATGTTATGATGGAATTTTGGTGTGAGGATTTATTGAGTCTTTGGGTTTATGCTGGTGTGGGTGGCGTGTGAATAATGTATGGACGGATTTTGAGGGAAGAGTGTGTTGTAAGTAGGGCTGTCTATGTCATGCGAATGGAGCGTGTCGAAGGAACTGGATAATGTGATGGGAGAAGATGAGAAAAAACTAACTCGAGAAATTAGGTAGGCCACATCCGTCGTAGATCCAAGCAATACTATTGTTAACTAGTCCAGCGTATAATATGTGTGAAGGAACCGATGCAGCTGACAGGATACTAGCCGACATGCCCGGATCTCGCACTCAGTTATCTCATTAGATGGCCCTCTGGCCCCATTTAACGGTCCTATTGCAAATCATGCACGGGTACTTGGGGCGGTATGGGCCAGAGTTAACATTAGCGCCGGTATCACTACAACGAGCAGCAGAAGTGGGATGGTGTGTCTGGAGTTCATCTGTTTTGTTGTGGTGTGTTGGAGTGCCGCAAGGCTGTGAGGGAGAGGAACGAGTCAGTGCTTGTTTGTGACGTGTGAGTGTTGTGTTGTTGACTCGTGATTGTCTGCATGCGTTTGAGGATTTGTGCATGTGAGTATAATGAGTGTCAATGTAAATGTAAGAAAAGTAATGTGTAAGAGTACGTGGCATCTATCCTAGTTTTCTCTTACTACTCTTAAGCGAGTTACATGTATTCTCGGCCTGGAGCGAACTGTCAAGAGGCCGGTCATAGCGCGGAACAAGCGTTTGTGTCGTGTTGTACTTGTGGCCAGTGAATAAACACAAGGGCAGAAATATTCTTTCTTTCGGGCCACGCTACCATCGTTACAAGTTCACCCGGAACCTCACATCCTGTAGAGGTTCACTACACTCACCATACTTACTTGTTTGCCGTAGATGCGTCTGTGTTGGTGCTTTTGAGGTGAGACATGAGCACGCGGGTCATGTTAATCAGGAGGGCTGTGTTCACCTGTTGGAAAGGAGATTTGAGTAACCAATTTACGCTTTCTTTTCTTTGGGTAAGGAGAGAAAATGAGTAAAGATATTATTATCATCATTATTTTTATCCTTACTTTTATTATTATCATCATTATTTTTATCCTTACTTTTATTATTATCATCATTATCATTATTATTATTATTATTATTATTATTATCCTTTCCTTACTTTTATTATTATCATCATTATTTTTATCCTTACTTTTATTATTATCATCATTATTTTTATCCTTACTTTTATTATTATCATCATTATTTTTATCCTTACTTTTATTATTATCATCATTATTTTTATCCTTACTTTTATTATTATCATCATTATTTTTATCCTTACTTTTATTATTATCATCATTATTTTTATCCTTACTTTTATTATTATCATCATTATTTTTATCCTTACTTTTATTATTATCATCATTATTTTTATCCTTACTTTTATTATTATCATCATTATTTTTATCCTTACTTTTATTATTATCATCATTATTTTTATCCTTACTTTTATTATTATCATCATTATTTTTATCCTTACTTTTATTATTATCATCATTATTTTTATCCTTACTTTTATTATTATCATCATTATTTTTATCCTTACTTTTATTATTATCATCATTATTTTTATCCTTACTTTTATTATTATCATCATTATTTTTATCCTTACTTTTATTATTATCATCATTATTTTTATCCTTACTTTTATTATTATCATCATTATTTTTATCCTTACTTTTATTATTATCATCATTATTTTTATCCTTACTTTTATTATTATCATCATTATTTTTATCCTTACTTTTATTATTATCATCATTATTTTTATCCTTACTTTTATTATTATCATCATTATTTTTATCCTTACTTTTATTATTATCATCATTATTTTTATCCTTACTTTTATTATTATCATCATTATTTTTATCCTTACTTTTATTATTATCATCATTATTTTTATCCTTACTTTTATTATTATCATCATTATTTTTATCCTTACTTTTATTATTATCATCATTATTTTTATCCTTACTTTTATTATTATCATCATTATTTTTATCCTTACTTTTATTATTATCATCATTATTTTTATCCTTACTTTTATTATTATCATCATTATTTTTATCCTTACTTTTATTATTATCATCATTATTTTTATCCTT